GCCCCAGGCGCGTCTCGGCCCCCCGGGTGCAGCTGCCGCCGAGCGGGGGGCGCCCAATCCTCGGTCCCCTCCCTCCAGTTCTTCCTCACGCGCCAGCGGCGCCCCGAGCCCCTCGCGGACCACAGAGCGCACAGCGCCGTTCACTTCGCATTGCAGCGTTTTATTGTTTTCTCGCGTTTTTATCGTTTCGTTCTCGCTCGGGAGCGAAAAGTGAAAACCTGAGGTGGAACCCGCGGGCTCTAGAGAGAAGAGCCCGGGTGGAGGGGCCGAGGGGTCGGCAGGGTGGCGGCCGCAGGGCCTTCCCCCGCGGCCAAGAACCCCCAGCCCTGTACAATATAGATGCTCATGTAAAATGAAAAAAAAAAATTAAATGCTATGAGTTAATCACTAAATATTATATACACAGCAATGTACACCTTTGAATAAATTAATACCAATTTGCATATTCTGGGAACCTTAAAGCTTATTTACACAAATGACCATTTATTTCATAAATATCTTTTTTTCCCTGGGGGCTCAAGGCAGACGTGCCACTCCCTGCACTGACTCAGGGGTGAGAGGGGGGCTATCTCTTGGGGGACGAGATGGTGGGACCAAAAAGACAGGGCTCCTCCTCAAAGTCCCAGCTCAGGTCTACACTGACTTAAGTCTACAAAGACCCAGCACCCCCCACCCCAACTTTTCACGTCGTGCAGGCCAGAGGCCAGGGGCTTGGAGGCTGCATCCGAAGCATCCACCCCTGGCCCTTGCCCTGCTGGTTCCCGAGGGAACTTCTGGGCCCAGCATGAGGCCTTCTCCACAGCGCTGGGGAACTCAGATGCCCTGGCCGATGCCACCTTTACACCGGAGCAAATCTGGACCGAGTCCAGTGGCTCCAAATCGACTCCTTCCGGCAGCCAGATCCCATGTTGAAGCCCAGGGAAGTGTACCACCAGGCCCCGGTTGGCCGGGCAGAGCTCTATTCCGGCGGCTGCAGCCCACTTTTGCTCCTTTATTTAAATAAATACCCATTCTGTGCTGTACACGTCCCAAGCAGCAGGGGCAGGCAGCCCGGGAGGCCTGCGTGGCAGCGGAGCGGCGGGGGGTCCCTCATTTGGGCGACTCCCGGCTGGGGGAGAGGGCTCTCTGGCTCTCCAGCCCACTCACCAGTCTCTGGATGCTCTGCAGTTCACTGGCCGCCTCCTTGGCTGAGCCGCTGGGTGACAGGGCACCGCGGGGCGGGGCCCCCACTTTGCGAAGAGCCAGCTCCGGCAGAGGGCTGGGCTCCCGGCTGTTGCCGCCTGCAGCCTTGGAACCATCGGCGGCCAGCCCGGTGGTGAGGAGGCTAGTGCTAGGTGGGATGGTGACCGGGATCTGGTAGGGGCTGAAGCGCAGGCGGGGCCGGGCACTGCCCAGGAAGGGGCTCCGCGACAGGGAGCCAGCGGCGGCAGCGGCTGCGGCGGCAGCACTGGTGGCCGGCAAAGCAGAGGCCGCTGCGGCAGCTGCAGCCATGTAGGTGTAGGGGTAGGGGAAGAGGCCTCCGAAAGTGGGCATCGGGATTCCCTGAGGAAACAGAACAAGGCTAGGGTTAGACATCTCACTAAGGCGTCTCTCTTGAAGTGTGGCCTTTGTGCAGGAAGGCAATGCTACAACGGGAATGCTTGCCCTGCTGTTTTAGGGATATAAAACCAGAGTTCACATAACTCCAATCCCAGGCAACACAAGCAGGCATGAGCCAGTGGACCTCACCATCAGCCCTTAGGAGAGGAACTTACTTCAGGCTGGGCTGCTAAGCCTGGCGCCATCAAGCCCTTTGCTAGGCATTTTAGGGCATCATATAGAAGTAAGGGGAAGGACATTCCAGGTGGCTGAACTATATGCACAAAGCCCTAGAGGGAGGAAACAGAACAGGCATAGGGCCAGGTGGTGAACTCTGCTGTCTTGGGCGAGGTTCTGCTCCCTTGGAACTGTGTCCTCCCCACCTCTCCTAAGTGCAGCTATTTCAAAGTCACAGGCTAGAGGAGGAAGCTTTGTAAATTCTCCTTCTGTCTGCCCACCTGCTCAGGGGGCTCCTGCCTGGGCCAGGAGAAGGGACTAGACGCCAAACCGATCATAAAATGGCTTGAATGTTCTACAAAGACTTCCTGGTGGCACCTCAGTGGCAGCTGTAGAGGGAATGCAAAGTCCTTGCCTGCAGAAAGCACATGGGCCCGGAACCCCTGGGCAAACACCATCTGAGTCCATGAAGCCTGGCTTGTGTATTAGCTGACCTTTGAGATGGTGGCTCGCTCCTCAGAGAAAGAACGAGTGCTGGGCTGAGCTGACTATGCTTCCAGGGAGCCTCAGGCCTGGCTCAGGCAGGGAGAAGGAAAGAGCCAGCTTAGTCAGGAGAGAGAAAATAGCCTCCCTGAGAGTCATAAACCCTGGTGGCGCAGGTCAGAAGGAAGGAAGGGGGTTTCTGGGCTCCCAGAATCTGGCCCTACCTGAGGGTCAGCAATGAGCAGAACTGGCCCGGTAACTTAACAGTCAGTGGCTACGCCAACTAGCACTTCCCAAGAGCTGGGGGTGCTCACCCTCACTTTGCACCTGCCCTGACTGTAAGTCCTAACTTCCCACGATCTCTCTGATGCCCATCATCATCACCAGAGTTTGTCTAGAGAGGAAGCATCACATACGTACAGAATTAAGGGCACACATTAGACCTCCAGGCCCTGAATTCCGTGCTTCTCAGGAGCCCTCTCCAGCCCACAGCCCCACATAGGAGATGTCGATCCCTCCAACCCTCCACATACCTCTGTTTAAAACTCATTTTAGAATGCCCACACACACACTTTAAAAATAATATTTGCAACTGAACCCAAGGAGTCTTCTCAGACCAGAACTCCTATTTTCCCTTCCCCTGAGATAAGATCTCCAGGGTTCAATTTGCCAGAAACCTCAGAGGGTAGAAAATGAATGAAGAGATTCCAAATCTTTCCACAGGGAATATTCCACCCAACCAACCAAAGAGGCCGCCTTCCCCATCTGATCTCCTTTATTGTGCCGCTGGCCACATTTTCATAAATTCTCCCATGGGAGTTCGGAATTTCAACCTGGGCCTGGGGAGCTGGGTTCCCCTTCCCTGAGATGTGGCAGGGACAAGGGTAACTGGGGGGACCTGAGGTAGGCAAAGGACAGCCTGATCTTTGTCAGGCCAGGGGACTTCCTACAGGCCAGGGGACAGGACAGAGGCAGCTGGGAGGTGGACCATTTTGGTGGTCAGTTGTCCAGAAAGTGTTACAAACTTTCCCCCTCTCTTTGTCTAGCCATCCTGACCTTTCAGAGACTGAGAGTGAACCAGGGGCTTCTGTTCCCAACAAAAATTTCCTGAGCACAGGAAAGTGTGTTTCACAAATGCCAGAAGCAGCCCCAGTCTGTTACAGCAGAAAGAAACCTGATAGGTGTGTCCCTTATTGCTGGTCTTATAAGGAGGAAACTGAAGCCCAGAGAGGGTTGAGGACTTGCCCAAGGTCACACAGGAGTCAGAAGTTATGCCCTGGACAGACTTCTGACCTGTAGTCTTAGTCTCCCAGAGCTCAAGTGTGCTGGAGAGCGTCAATCCCGCCTGTGCCCCGCAGAATTCTTGCCGCTGGAGGCTCAAGGTGCCTATGGCACCCTTAAGCCCTCTGCCCACCCCAGCCACCCAACTCGCTCCTCCTCCCTCCACCGTGCTGCCACCAGATCACAGGCCTTACCTGAGATGCCAGCATGTGCTGGGAGAGGTGGAACGGGAAAGGAGCAGTGGTGCCTGCCGCCCCGGCTGCGGGGCCCAGACCGCCCGCGTCCAGGCCCGTGGCTGTGCCTGGCCCGCCGCCTCCGCCATTACCACCTCCGCCCGCCACAGAAGCCAGCAGGTGCCCCATGCCCATGGCGGAGAAGGCGCCAGGGCCCATGGCAAACTGTCCGGGGTGCAGGAAGAGCGGCTGACCGGCTCCCAAAGGCCCGAAGAACTGCTGCCCATGTAGGTGGCCAGAGAAGGCCAAGCCAGGCAGGTGTCCCGCGCCCAGGGGGGACGCACTGTCCGTCTGCACCACTAGTGGCGTCAGGGCCGGCTCCTTTCCCTCTCCCGGCTCCTTGCGCCCCTCGTCCTTCCGCCGGCTCTCGGCACGCTCTTTTTCTAGGCCCCGCAGGCCGTATGGCCCGTTCCCGCCGCTTTCCGGCGGCTCCTTGCCCCGCTCCGGGCTGCGCCGCTCCCGGGCGCGTTCGGATTCGCTCAAGCGAGGGGGGCTGGAGCCGTCCAGGCCCGGGCTGCGGCCCAGCGCGGTCCCGGCCCTCTCCTCGCCCGGCCGCTCAGGTTCGAGGTCGCTGTCCGCGGCGCAGGACTTCTCCTCAGCTGCAGGGAGAGAGGACGCACTGGGTCACAGGGTGCAGACAGACCAAGCCCTCTGCCGGTGTGTGGGCCCCTTCGGGGAGACATGTAAATGCCTGCTCTTTCTAGGAGCTTCTCGGACCTAGACCGGCCAGGGCCAGTTGCCGGTCAACTAATCCAAAACCCTTTCTTTCACGATGGAAAGAATTGCACCCTGGAGAAGAAACCTCACTGCCAGAGTAACTAGGGCGCTGCAAAGGACCAGGCTCGGCGTCCAGCCGGATCTTCTGGCTACTAGGTACCACCCTCATAGGGAAGTCCTACGGTGGAAGTCCCAGCCCAGACACACTGGCTGAGGCTTCTCCCACGCCTAAGAGTAATCAGGCGCTGAGCGAAGGGACAGCCCAGTGACCTGAGGAGACCCTCCAGTGTCTCTCCCACCCCGGCGGTCGGGCAATCGGACCCTCACCTCGCGCCCGGTGCAGGCGCAGGGGACTGGGCGCTGCGCCGGGAGAGGGCGGCGGCTCTCGCGCCGGGGGAGGGTCACAGGACGAGGCGTCCGACTCAGCGCCGTCGCGCTCAGGCTTGCAGTGCTCTTCGTACAATCGCAAAGATGGCAGCGTTAGCTGCTTCCTGGGGACGAGCGGAGAGTCGTCAGCTGGGGACACCTTCCTGCAATCCTGCTCTCCCCGCATCCGCCACAGGGCTGTCCCACGCACCCCTCACCTTTTCTCCCGCCGGCCGTTCCCGGTGTCCCTGAAGCCCTTAGCGAACGGATTGTTGTCGATCTTCAGCTGCGTGATCTGCGGGAATGGAGTCAGCGGCGCCAGGTCAGACCGAGACTCTACCAGCCCGGCCAGGGGTTCTCGGAGGTCAGCGCCTCCCGGCCGCCAAGGGGACACGGAGGGAGAGTCCACACGGTACCCGCCCCCCTGGGCCTTTCCTGGGATCGAACGTCTGCAGCCGGAAGGCGAGGTGAGGCCAGTGGGCAGGGCTCGCGCAAAGCCAGAAGGTCTCTGCTCCAACAAAACCTTATTCGAGGAATAATCCCCCTACATGCACACACAAGCCCAAAGCTGTGCGCAGAGCGGAAATCGGCCTAAGCATGCCCAACGCGCGCTGTCACGCAGGTTACACAGACCCTGCACTTGAGCAGGCGTGCACAGGGACAGCAGAGCACACGCAGCTCGCAATTACACTCGAAGACAAATCACACACACAGGCCGGCACACACGCAGATACACACAGACAGAACACCACCCACGGAAACCAAAGGAATTCACACGCTTCCGCATGTGCTCCCCAAACGGCGAATGCACACTCACACGCACACAAAGAAAGCACGACCCGAATGGACCCTCGCAGACTCTTGTTTACATGAAAGAAGAAATGCTAATGGGCACAGGCCTAGTGGGGAGAGGGTGCTTTGCTCCGTTAGAAGGCCGCAAGCGGGAAAGCCCGGGGTGCTGTAGGGGCTTTGTCACCTGACCCATCCTTTGGCTTTCTCAAGAGAGTGAAAACTGGGCTCGGGGACCCTAGCTCCGGGAAAGCCTGGGAAGATTGCCTCAGGCGCCCTCTCCAGTTAACTTTGCATTTCCAAGCCAAGAAATAAACGAATAAAATGTAAAAATGTCAGCGCGGGCCCCGAGCCTCTGCTAATTGCTAAGTAAACATCTCCACCCGAACGAGCGCCCAGCTGTTCGCGCGCGCCCGGGGAGAGCGTGTGTGTACGTGTCTTGAGCCTGGGAGGAGGGCGGAAGGGTGGTGGTGGGTGCTGCGCCTACAGATACAGGACTGGGTGCTGGAGAGCGGACCGGGAGCCCGCCGGGAGGGTGCGGGGGAGCTGGGTGCGGTCTGAGTGGAGAGCTGGAAGCCGGCACGTGTGCGAAGGAGGTGCAGGGGCTGGGTCCGCCGCCTGCCCCCGCACACCTTGTCGTTCTGGTAGGCAGTGACGGCGATGAAGTCTGTCTCGGGAAACACGTAGGTGCGGAAGGTGCTGTAGGGCAGCTTGAGGATGTCGTTGGCTCGCACGATGTGGAAGCGCGGCTGATACTTGTGCATGGAGTTCAGGATGGTCTGCGGGGAGGGGGAGGGTCAGCCAGTAGTCCCAGCTTTTAGCCTGAGCACGTCTGCTCCCACTTCCTCTCCATCTCTCTCTCTTTGACGGTTCTGCCTTTTCCACCCTGCCTTCGTTATTTTTCTCCTTTCTGCTCTTTTTCTCATCTCCATTTCTTTTTCTTCTGTTTTTCTGTCTCAGATTTCTTTCTCATAGTTTCTCTCTCCATTTTCAAATTTTCCCACAGTTGAAAACAAAGCAATCCTGCAAATCCACTCTTTGCAAAGCTCCTAGTACCCCAATGGAGAAAAGACCCGGACATCTTCTGAATGCTCCCTGACTGCCCTTCCTTGGGATTGGAGAAATTCCCTTGTGTTCCATGAACTTCCAACTCACTGGGGCCTCAACTATAGGGAAGGAGGGCAGAAAGGGGAGACCACCCAAACCTACAAAGTCCTGATGGGGCCTCAACCTGTGGCAGGATGCAAAGGTGGCCCTCAGGGAGGCTCTGGAGGAGGGGTGACTTAACTCTTAAATCCTCTCTGAGAGGGCTGGGACTTGGGCGAGGAAGGGCTAGGGACAGGCCAAGGCCACGGACAGACCGAGCTCTTACAGGCCAAGGGCAGGGTGACCTCTCCTGGCCCAGAGGCGGCACTATCTGCTACCCATGTCCCACACCTGACTCTTGCCTGGCCCTGAAGGCCTGACCCTAGGCAAAGTCATGCATGGGCAGTTTGGAGCTTCTCAGCCACCACCCTTGCCATCCCCTTGCCTTGGGGAGTGGAGCCCTCCAGACCCAGGCCCAGCTGGCCAGGCCACAGGGCTTTGATCTGGGCAGGAGCACTCTGGGGATTCCTCCTGTCCTCTCCGCCGGGGAATCCCTCCTCCAAGCTCACCCTCCAGGCCCTGGTGCGCAGTCTCAGACCCCCACCCCCACAGCCACACACTCACAAAGCCGTGCTTGTCAGAGATGTTGTTAGTCAGCTTCAGCTTGTGGAAGGCTACGGGCTTGGCCATCCACTGCTCGCCTGTGGCTGGGCTGTCCGGGTGGATGTACATGCGTTTGGGCATCTCTGGATCCGCCTTGCCTGCGACCATCCAGCGAGAGTTGTGGAACTTATATCGGCAATCATCAGCAGCCACAATATCCATCAGTAGGATGTACTTGGCCTTCTTGTCCAGGCCGCTGACTCGCACCTTGAAGGGAGGAAACATCCGCCTACAAGAAAGAGAAGGAGAGCAAGCCATTGGAACCTGTTTTTTCTGTGCCCATAGCCCTTCTCCCCCTTTTGGTCCCCTCACCAACACTGCCTGAAGGTCCTCCATCTGCGTTTCCCTGTTATCATTGCTGTTCCCTTATCAGCATCCCAGAGACCCCACCTGTAGTTATTACTCCTTGGACATCCCATTTCTGCCCGTCTGACCGTCGTTTATAAGGCCTCCCTCCCATGGGCCAGATGCTCAGATCTGGGAAGTCTTTTTTCTCCCTGATCAGAGATGAAAGCTCAGTCCCAGGAAATAAATCTAGGCCCTCTGGAAACACACGCGTTTCTCCTGAATCTCCCCGAAATTCGTTCAGGGGAAACACTGACTGGGGACCGAAGCTTCCAGAAATAAATTCGGAGAGTGTTTTAGGCAATGGGTTACAGAGCTGAAACAGGGATCCTGATCCAGCGGTTTGGGGGAAGAGGGTGAGCCTGAGGCCTGGATTCTCGCAGGCAGCTGAGTCGGAAGGTGGAAGGGTTGGGCGCTGAGGCTTTCTTCTGCCTTTAAGGCCTGGAGCAGAGGGTGCGTCCCGGGCACCTCCCGCGGCAGCCAGGACGGGACTTCTAGCTGGGTCAGGCCGTGGGGCTGTACAGGCCTGGGGCTGGTTGCTCAGAACCGAGCGGCCGGCGGGAACTGGCAGTCCGGGCGGGCCTAGCGGGACTTGGGTCTCCCTCTGAGCCCGAGGGTCTGAGCAGAGAGTTCCGGAGATGCTGCGCCTCCCCTGAACGCCGGTCCAGACCCGAGGCGGGAACGTGAGCTTGCGGAGCGGAGGGTCTCCGGCCGAGACCCGCCGGGGCGGGGCCACCGGGCCGCCTCCGCTTTAGGACTCAGAGCGGTCGGGTCTGTTTTCTACAAGTATGTTTTCGTTTTATTTCACTCGGGAAATTTTTGATGTTTTAGTTTTAGAAAATTCGCTCCTGTGCCAAACGAGAAAAGTCAATTTCGGTGTCAGTGGAAACGAAGGGTGGTGGTCAGACTGGAGCCGGGAACCGCCAGCCGCAGCCTCGGCGCTGGTCGGTGCCCCCCCCCCCGTCCGCCCGCGCGCCCGCCGGCCGGCCGGCCGTCCTACCTCCCGGACTTGGTGATGACCATCTCAGTGCCCAGCTTATGGAACTGGTCCCACAGCTCCTTGGCCTCCAGCGTCACCTTGGGATCGTCCTCCACCTCGTCCTCAGGCTCCAGGCTCTTAAGCGAGCGCAGATGCGCGGCGGGAGGGTGTGGGCCGAGGGCCGAGACGTGC